GAGTTTGAAAAGAATTTATTGTTTAAAAGTGATAAAAAGTTTTTCGAAAAAATAAAGCCTTTAGATTTGATGAAGAATTAAAGATATGATTAAGTTCGTAAGTTTTAGAGTGATCAAATTTTGATTGATTTGTCTATTTTGGAGAGTGACATTGAAGTAATAAAATAACAGAATTAAATATTAGTCTCATTTGATTTAATTTGAATAGATACGAAAGTGGGAAGATAGGATACTAAAATATGAGGACAAAATAAGGTAATGTCAATTAGATTTATAATAAACGATAAACAATTAGAGAAATACTGTAGCTAAGCTATTATTTGGATCAAAGGACAAAGAAATATTGAGATTATAGAATTAGATTGAATAAGTAATTTTGTATTATATGTATTTTTAGTATTCTAAAACAATATAGGAATTGAAGGTATTAATAAATATAACAATGGGGTAAGTTTGTCTATTTGAAATTCCTGATTTTGTAAAGGAAAAGGAACAAAATCTTTTTAAATTAATAAAACTCATAGGATAATTGGAAATGGAACAAGTTGGTATAATAGGTGAATATTGGCAGAACATTCTGGATTCTCGTTTAATATCTCAAATTGAATAGTAGCAAGTTTACGACTCAGTTATTATAACTGATTAGAAATAATAGGATTAAGGTTAATAACAAAAGGTCGAAGAGAAGAGTGAGAATTAAGAAAATAAGGAAAATAAGAGCATGGTAATATCATAAGAATAGGAATAATAGAGTGAATAAAATTGATAATATATTAGTAATGAATTTGTGTATCCTTAATATTATTTAAAATAAATGAGCAGAAGTCAATAAAAGCAATAACAAGCGGCTTAAACAACTCAATAAGCTAACAAAAGTTAAGTGCAAGCTCCAGCAGCAACAAGAGGAAAATCTCCTGCTACAGCAGCATCTTAATAACCCGTATAGCCAGCTGCTAGTGGTTTTGATCCTTCCAAATATGTCAAACCAGGACTTAGCAAAGATGAAGTCTTGAAGATTAAGGAATGTTTTGACATCTTCGATGACGATAAGAGTGGCTCAATTTCGTAAGAGAAAATAATTATAAAAGTCCAAATGAAATGAAGAATGCGATCATTGCTTTAGGAATGGAATAATCCGCTGAAGAGATTGTTAATATGATTTAAGATCTTGATTAAGATGGATCAAGTTTGATTGATTTTGAAGAATTTCTAAACATTTTTGGATTTTCAGGGTATTGATAATTAATATGAGCATTTAGCACAATTGAAGATGAATAAGTGCTTGAGAAATTATATTAAGAATTTGATTCCTCTGGATAAAGTAAAGTTACTTACGAGGATTTCAAAAGAATCAATGATTTGGTATCAGAGAGATACACAGATTAAGAATTAAGAGAAATGGTTGAATATGCAGATAAAGATAAGGATGGCTCACTAAGTTGGGATGAATTCAAAGCTGTTGTTTAAAAAGAGTATCCAAATCAAGCATGAATATGATAAATAATAGGAGCAAAATAATCAATCATATATGCTATCAATTTCCGTTATTGTCTCTAAGTGTATGAACCACTCTTTGAAAATCGTTGAAAATTCACTTTTAGCTTATTCATATGATTTATTTCCCACTCTCTATAGAAGGATTCTAGAATAAGGAGTGTTTGGAATGACTTCCTTCTATTTTACTAATTTCTGTCTAACCTGCTTTTCTGCTTTCACTCTGTCAATCCATTTCTACTTAATGCTACCCATCTTCTCCCATTCTTCCTAAGCTCTCACTTCCTAATTGCTAGACAATTACCCACTTTTCTTTAAAACCCATTTCGATTGGAAATAAGCATCATAACCTTGGGTGCAAAATTCTTACAGAAATAACTTGTATGCCATCTAGTTCAACTTCTAATCTTACAATGCGTATTTCTTAGCCCTTATTTTATAAGTCTCTATTATTTGATAACCGTACTTCTTAAGATGATCTTCAGACAACTGGAACACTTACGATTGCGGTTATTCAGATTACATCACTTTCTGTATTATGCGTTTGATGACTCGACATAAACAATAATTTAAGAATTTCAAATTTATACATTCGATAAAATTCTGCCCATATTGATGCGGATCTATGAATTGCTTAAATTTCTTATGATGTATAAATGTTTGAGATCTCAATTCCATAAACTTTACAAATTCCTAAGAAGGCATCTTCTCCACTCTTGCCTTCATGTAACCCTCCCAAATCTCGTGTGGAGATTCTGATATTATCGAAGAATTTGAAACAGAATCCTCTTGCTAAGAGTACTATTCCTCATAGATCAGAATCTTTTCCTTTTAAGCTTTATTTCTTAATGTTTACTCATAATCAACATTATTGTCTTAATTGACTTCTGATGCATGTTTCTTTAGTCTTTTCGAAATTCTTGATAATTTCTAAAATAAACTAACAAACTCTTTGAAAACACAATTTAAATAATTTTAGAGTATTCTCTTGTTTTTAGTTAATGGTTGAGGAAATTCGAATTTGATATCCGATCCCATTTGCTCCCAAGGCTTAGGAGCAGGCGAATAGAGAGCATGTAAAATTAGTGGCGAAAAGATGTCTGATATCAATTCCTAAATTTATAGATGGGCCAGATTATGCACCTCAGATTTTCTTTAATCACCATAAACATATAGCATATTCTTGATAGTCTTTGTTAGAGGAAAAGTGGAATCTTCATCATTTTCTGATTGTTAAATTGAAGGTGAACTTGGCTCTTCATGCTTTGGTGAATTAAATTCAACATGCATATGTCTTCTTTTCATATTTTATAATTAATTTATATATATATTAATTAATTGTATAAAAATAATAATTGTATTTTTAATTTTGATAATTCTTGTCTTTTATGTCCATTATAAAATAGATAATTAACTACTACCTATTCAAATATAAACAAATTCATAATACACACATTAGTTCTTAAAAAATTATGATATAAATCAATAAACTTAAGGAAATAATCTCATTTTTGAAATATAAAGTTTTAATTTTGAATAAATTTAGTGTAAAAACATATATCATAACGACATTTTTTATGTGAAAATTAGACAACTGCTTTGCCTTGACAAGAAAATGTTGTTTGTTAAAGTCCAAAAAACCGTCTCAAATTGTGAGAAATCCTATTAAATGATTTGATGTTATATCAATATTAATTAAAAATGTATAGATTTGATAATGCATTATTTACTTTTCCTGTCACTAGAAAGCACTTTTTCTCTGATAAAGTGTATTAGCTATACTTGTTTAATGATGAATTCATTATGACTGATGTAATACACATATATTTTATATATAGAACTAGGCAAAAAAAGCAAAATATGAGATCAAATTGAATATGACAACTACTTTAAATTGGATAGTGAGTGATAAGAAAATATAAGCTTTTGAAATATCTTACAATAATAAAATGAAGGCATTTAATGCTTCTCCAAATAAGTTATAATTGTTAAGAGAGATGATTGCTGGTCGAGTATTTTATTCTGGAATCTAAACCTTCTATGAAATTCAAATGAGAGTTGGTTATGGAATGATTGGAGAAGTACAAATTGTTAAGAAAGTTAGGTCTATAGAGCCGTATCTTAAAATGGAGACTATGTTGCCATTAAAAAGTGTGACAAATAGAAATTGGCATCACTTTAAGGAGGAATTGTAAGAAATTTCTGTTGATTTTAGCCTTAATTGATCTAAGAATTATAGCTCCTACAATAACTTTCACATATAAATATTTTAAAACTTAAAGAAGTCTATTCTGATCAATAATTTTATTACATCGTTACTGAGTTTGTTGATGGAAGAACATTGCATACTGAATTATTGTCAAGGCCAGCAGGTTTAAGTATCATTCAGACATTAAAAGTCATGTTTTAAATTTTAAGTGCTCTTATTTATATTCATTCAAAAGGAATTATGCATAGAGATATAAATCCACATAATATAATGATTTCAGAAAATATAAAATTAATTGATTTTGGGTTGGCTCGAAAGATTAAAAATTAATTATTATTTCCTACTGCAGGGACACCAGGTTATATAGCTCCTGAAATAATTAACTATAAATAAGAAAAACCGTATGATGAGAAAGCAGATATTTATAGTTTAGGATGCATGTTATATAAAATGTATAAAAATGTAACAATGTAGGTTGTCTGGTGAAAATGTATTTCATAGATAAAAAAATATATTTTAAGAAAATAAAGAAGGCATTTTTGAATTAAGAAAGAATCCTTAACATCCAGAATGCAGTTCAAACAAGATGGATTAATTATTTGTTTTGTTGGCTTATATGCTTGAAAATGATCCAAATGAAAGACCGAATGCTTAATTTTGCAAGTTTTTGTTAAAGGAAATCGAAAACAACAACCAATAGATAGATAAATTGATTCGAAAATAACAAATAATGAGACCCATTTTTGTAGCTACTGATGAAACTCCTCTTGAGCGAACTCCTTTAAGTTTTACTAGCAATATTAAAGGTAAATCAAGTGACACACTTATGAAAAGTGATGATATCACAACTTAAGGACATAAAAAATTAAGTAAAATAGCAATTAAAAATGTGTGAATATATATTTTATTTATTTAATATCTTCATTATTGTTATTGTAACTATTATTATTACTGTTATTATTATTATTTTTGTTTTTGTTCTTCCTTTTCTTTTTAGATTTTTTACATCTCCTCAATGGTCATTTCAGGCTTCATGGCTGGAAACAGAAGAACCTCTTAGATGTTTTGTGTATCTGTTAACAACATTACAAATCTGTCAATACCAAGACCCCAGCCAGCAGTTCTAATTTTAAATATAAAATAATTACGGTGGGAGAGCATGTTCTAATGATTTAATAAATCCTTCATCATATCCCATAGCTTCGTCATCTCCTTTGGCAGCATCTTCAACTTATTTTTGGAATAGTGCTTTTTAAACAAATGGATCATTCAATTCTGTATAAGCATTGCACAATTCATGATAATTAACGAAAAGTTCGAATCTTTATTTGTTTTATATTTATACCTTTCAGTTAAGCCTGGATATTGCCTATGAACTTTGCTCAATGGACTCATTAATTATGGGTGATCAATTAAAAAGGTTGGATTCTTAAAATTGACTTCCAAGAAATGACCAACTAATTTATCAATTAATCTAGCAGTAGTTCTTGGATTAGAGCATTCAACCTTATGTTTTTTAGCTTATGCATTAAAGAAGGCATTAGCTTCTTCACTTTCCAAGACTTCAGGTAATTTTTCACCTAACTTCTTCTCCAACTCAGCCATCATCGAAACTCTTGGCCAAGGTGGAGTGAAATCAAGTTCAAGAAAATCCTCCTCTTTTTCTTTAAAATGACCAGATTTGATATCATGTTCAGTAAGTGTGATAGTAGGATTGTCACCCTTATGAATTTTGAATTTATAGCTTCCCTTCAATTTTAACACAATTTATGACAAGACTTCTTCAGTGACAGTCATGAGATCATTATAATCACAATAGGCCCAATAGAATTCCATAGCTGTGAATTCAGGATTATGAGTTTAATCAATTCCCTCATTTCTGAAGTTTTTACCTATTTCATAGACTCTGTCTAATCCACCTACGATTAACATTTTAAGATATAATTCTGGAGCAACTCTCATGAATAAATCTCTATGTAATGAATTATGGAATGTCTTAAATGGTTTAGCAGTAGCTCCTCCTTAAATAACATTTAAAGAGGGAGTCTCAACTTCAATAAATCCTTTACCAT